CCCCCAAAACCACCCCCCAAACACCCCCCACCCACATCTACGACATGTCTGCAGTGAGACCCCACTCCAAAACAGCCCTGAGACCCCCAAAAACCCCCTGGGACCCCCCCCCAAAACAGCCCTGGGACCCCACAAACCACGGGGTCGGTGTCACCCGTGTCCCCACGGTGTCCCCGCAGGTGATGGGACACAAGGGGCTGGACACAGAGGCCTAGGGGGTGACGGTGACACTGTCCCCATGGTGTCCCCATGGTGTCCCCATGCCCTGACAGGTGACAGAGGCGCAGGGCGTGGAGGTGGCCCTGTCCCCAATGTCCCCAATGTCCCCAACGTCCCCAATGTCCCCAATGTCCCAATGTCCCCAATGTCCCCAATGTCCCACTGTCCCCAATGTCCCCATGGTGTCCCCACAGGCGATGGGCCGCAAGGGCCCGCAATGTCCCCAATGTCCCCGCAGGTGATGGGCCGCAAGGGCCCGGTGGCCGAGGCCCAGGGCGTGGAGGTGGCCCTGTCCCCAATGTCCCCAACGTCCCCAATGTCCCCAATGTCCCCAATGTCCATGGTGTCCCCGCAGGTGATGGGCCGCAAGGGCCCGGTGGCCGAGGCCCAGGGGGTGGCAGTGCCACTGTCCCCAATGTCCCCATGGTGTCCCCGCAGGTGATGGGCCGCAAGGGCCCGGGGGCCGGGGCCCAGGGGGCGTGGAGGTGGCCCTGTCCCCAATGTCCCCAATGTCCCCGCAGGTGATGGGCCGCAAGGGCCCGGGGGCCGGGGCCCAGGGGGCGTGGAGGTGGCCCTGTCCCCAATGTCCCCAATGTCCCCGCAGGTGATGGGCCGCAAGGGCCCGGGGGCCGGGGCCCAGGGGGCGTGGAGGTGGCCCTGTCCCCAATGTCCCCAATGTCCCCGCAGGTGATGGGCCGCAAGGGCCCGGTGGCCGAGGCGCAGGGGGTGGAGGTGGCCCTGTCCCCATGTCCCCAATGTCCCCAATGTCCCTGCAGGTGATGGGCCGCAAGGGCCCGGGGGCCGGGGCCCAGGGGGCGTGGAGGTGGCCCTGTCCCCAATGTCCCCATGGTGTCCCCGCAGGTGATGGGCCGCAAGGGCCCGGTGGCCGAGGCCCAGGGGGTGGAGGTGGCGCTGGCCCCCGAGGAGCTGGAGCTGGACCCCACGGCCATGACGCAGAAGTACGAGGAGCACGTGCGCGAGCAGCAGGCGCAGGTGGAGAAGGAGGACTTCAGCGACATGGTGGCCGAGCACGCCGCCAAGCAGAAGGTGGGGCTGCCACCCGTGTCCCCTCTGTCCCCTCCCTGTCCCCTCTGTCCCCTCCCTGTCCCCTCTGTCCCCTCCCTGTCCCCTCCCTGTCCCCTCAGTGCAGCCCCGTGCGGGTGGCATGAAGCACGAGGAGTTCCTGGCCCTGGTCCCGAGTCCCCACTGTGACCTCTCATCCCCTCCCTGTCCCCTCTGTCCCCCCCCGTGTCCCCTCCCTGTCCCCATTCCACATCCCCATCATCCCCTTGTCCCTTCTGTCCCCTCCCTGTCCCCTCCCTGTCCCCTTTCCACATCCCCATCATCCCCTTGTCCCTTCTGTCCCCTCTCTGTCCCCTCCCTGTCCCCTCCCTGTCCCATTTCCACATCCCCATCATCCCCTTGTCCCTTCTGTCCCCTCCCTGTCCCCTCCCTGTCCCCTTTCCACATCCCCATCATCCCCTTGTCCCTTCTGTCCCCTCCCTGTCCCCTCTGTCCCCTCCCTGTCCCCTCAGGGTGGCCCCGTGGGGGTGGGATGAAGCACAAGGAGTTCCTGGCCCTGTCCCCTCCCTGTCCCCTCGGTCCGCCCCTGTGTCCCCGGACCCTTGATGACACTGTCCCCTCCTGTCCCCTCTCCCTCACTGTCCCCTCCCTTTCCCTGTGTCCCCTCGCTGTCCCCTCTCTCTCCCCTCCCTGTCCCCTCACTGTCCCCTGTCCCTGCAGCAGAAGAAGCGGAAGGCGCAGCCCCAGGACGCCCGCGGGGGGGGCAAGAAGTACAAGGAGTTCAAGTTTTAGCTGTCACCAGTGTCCCCTCGCTGTCCCCTCGCTGTCCCCTCGCTGTCCCCTCGCTGTCACCGCCCTGTCACCGCCCTCTGCCACCCCGCAGGGCGCTGGTGCCACCCCGGGATCGGGGGATGTCACCCCCGCTGTCACCTGGGGCCGCGGTCCCGGTGTTGGGGACAGTGTGGTGGCACTGTCCCCGTCCCTGTCACCTGTCCCTGTCCCCAGCGTTGTCCCCGTTGTTTTGTAAATAAAAGGTGGCGTCCCCACCGAAGCCTGCGGCTCTGCCTGGTGGCACCGAGGTCACTGTGTCCCCAAGGTCCCCGTGACAATGAGGTCACCGTGTCACTGGGACATGGCACCGAGGTCACCCTGTCCCCAAGGTCTCTGTGTCACTGGGACGTGGCACCCTGTCCCCAAGGTCACCGTGACAATGAGGTCACCGTGTCACTGGGACATGGCACCGAGGTCACCCTGTCCCCAAGGTCTCTGTGTCACTGGGACGTGGCACCCTGTCCCCAAGGTCACCGTGACAATGAGGTCACCGTGTCACTGGGACATGGCACCGAGTCCCCAAGGTTCCCGTGTCACTGGGACGTGGCACTGTGTCCCCAGGGTTCCCGTGTCACTGGGACGTGGCACTGTGTCCCCAAGGTCACCGTGTCACTGGGACGTGGCACCGTGTCCCCAAGGTCACCGTGTCACTGGGACGTGGCACTGATCTCACTGTGTCACTGAGGTCAGTTCAAGTTTTAGCTGTCACCAGTGTCCCCTCGCTGTCCCCTCGCTGTCCCCTCGCTGTCCCCTCGCTGTCACCGCCCTGTCACCGCCCTCTGCCACCCCGCAGGGCGCTGGTGCCACCCCGGGATCGGGGGATGTCACCCCCGCTGTCACCCGGGGCCGCGGTCCGGGTGTTGGGGACAGTGTGGTGGCACTGTCCCCGTCCCTGTCACCTGTCCCTGTCCCCAGCGTTGTCCCCGTTGTTTTGTAAATAAAAGGTGGCGTCCCCACCGAAGCCTGCGGCTCTGCCTGGTGGCACCGAGGTCACTGTGTCCCCAAGGTCCCCGTGACAATGAGGTCACCGTGTCACTGGGACATGGCACCGAGGTCACCCTGTCCCCAAGGTCTCTGTGTCACTGGGACGTGGCACCCTGTCCCCAAGGTCACCGTGACAATGAGGTCACCGTGTCACTGGGACATGGCACCGAGGTCACCCTGTCCCCAAGGTCTCTGTGTCACTGGGACGTGGCACCGTGTCCCCAAGGTCCCCGTGTCACTGGGACGTGGCACTGATGTCACCGTGTCCCCAAGGTCCCCGTGTCACTGGGACGTGGCACCGTGTCCCCAAGGTCCCTGTGTCACTGGGACGTGGCACTGAGCTCCCTGTGTCCCCAAGGTCCCCGTGACAATGAGGTCCCCATGTCACTGGGATATGGCACTGAGGTCCCTGTGTCACCAAGGTCACTGTGACAATGAGGTCACTGTGTCACTGGGACATGGCACTGATGTCACCGTGTCACTGGGACGTGGCACCGTGTCCCCAAGGTCCCTGTGTCACTGGGGCATGGCAGTGAGGTTCCTGTGTCACTGAGGTCACCGTGACAATGAGGTCACCGTGTCACTGGGACATGGCACCGTGTCCCCGAGGTCCCTGTGTCACTGGATGTGTCCCTGATGTCACCGTGTCCCCAGCCCTGTCCCCAGTGCCAGCAGCTCAGCTGTCCCTGTGTCCCCATGGCCCCGCTGTCCCCTCTTTGTCCCCTCTTTGTCACGGGGGGGGGTGGGGACAGTGCTTGGGGTGGGGGCAGGAGGGACAGGGGGACAGACAGGGACAGG